ACCCTACGATTGACGATGTTTTGATTAATTTATGTGGTTGATTATTGAGTTATCTTTTTGGAATTATGCATGTTATTTTGAATAATTAACCATGATGTGTTGAGTCTTATTTAGATTTATCACCTAGATTAGACTTTCATATCTATAGTTGAATTAGACGTGCAATCTGTAATTGTTCTTGTGTTTAATTCATAAGAGGCTACCGGAAGACGGTAACTACCGGGGATAACACGGCCTATTTAAGTGAACGAACGCGGTTGAGTTCACTACTTAGTCTAGTCTTTTTTCTAATTCGTAAAGCGGCTAATTGTATTATATCTTGAAAGCGTCTTTCTGGACTGTACAAGAAGTCAGGTTTAATCGTAGAGCTTCTCGCAGTTAAATTAAAAATAAGGAAAAATTCGTGTACCGTGCCGTTACCTAAGGCTAGTAATTCCATAAGATAGCGAGATTTGATACCAAAATTGATTAGACGAGTCAGTCGAGGGTGTAGACAGAACCGTAAACTAGAAATTTCTCTTAATTTATTTTATTTTATTTTTTATTTTCTTGTTTAGATTTTATTTATTTTATTAGGATTTTAGTTATTAAATCAATCCCCTCTCTTTATTGCTTTTTATAAATTCAATTAATACAAGAAAATTCACAATTTGATTCACACTCCATGTGGGTTCGATCATTGTTCGCTACTACTACTAGTTGGTAGAAGTCGATAAGGAAAAATATAAATTTTAATTTGCTGCGTTGCGATGCGCAGTCAATTTGTAGCTTTTTAGGTAATTTCAAAAATAAGTATATAAGGGGTAGACAAATGTAATATAATTTAAATGTGTTAGTATGAGGTGCAATTTCCTCTATAAAGTTTAACGCATGACAATCAATAAATAAACTATTAAGCACGTTGGACTATTGTTTTTTTTTTTTTTTTTCAAATGATAGATGATAATATTAATAACTGAAAAAATCGAACAAAGTTCCAACAAGACCATACACAACTACAATGGGAGAATAACTCAAAGAGTGATCTAGATATAAGAACAAAGCTACACGAGAAAAAGCGGGAATGCAACCACCGGGACCTTCCCTCGAATCGAACAAAGCTACATGTTGGACTAGTGTTTAAAACATGACATTTTTTTTTTTTTTTAATTCGAAGAATTCAACTCGAATTAAGTTTTTCGCCATTAAAAAAAATTAGCCAACATCAAGCCAAATTCAATTTTTATAAATTGATTTTTCCAACACTTTTGATGGTATATATATATATATAGCAATTATGTAGCAATTATGCATCCATAGCAATTATTTTGAAAATTATAGTTTGGATCGGATATATATGCAACATTTTATGTAGCAATTATGCATCCATAGCAATTATTTTATACTATAAGAGATTCTGTGGAGACATCCAAGAGCTCTCTTACAGAACCATTCATACCTGTGGAGACATCCAAGAGCTCTCTTACAGAACCATTCATACCTTTATATACTGACACGTGTCCAGTGTGTATTTATTGCATGACACGTGTCAATATATATATACTATTTCGAATAACTACGAATGACTTCATAAGCCGAGTCATTTGATGGGTGCACACCAAAACCGCTAAACATAATTCATGAAGCACTCCGTTTCTTTTTCCATTCATATTGAGTAATAAAATCACACGACAAAACCAAGAACTACATTAATTGTTCCTTTATTGCATCAAAGAGATGGTGACTGGTCGTTTGACATTCAGACAGATCCATGCTCTTTCACGATAGCCACTTTGATTTTTGTATTGTATTCAAGTCAAATCACCATTTATTCTTGGGTTACTATTCCAACTATACCTAATAAGCCAATGAAATAATAGGTAGGATAACCATTTGAACAAATCTTTGCTTTGTTTGGGTCAATTTGTATACTCAAAACACATAACATCACCATTTAATTAGGACCTATCCATAACAACAAAGTACTTTATCTAGTCATGTTTTTACGTCTATTATGATTTAGTGGAGGACCTAACTATCAGGCGAGTCGATCATTTATACTGTTTTAGAAAATATATATTTATGTTATGAAGCGTAATAATTTTATTTATGTTGTTTTGTAAAGTATAATATTTCAGTATAAAGGTATGTATATCTATTGGAAAACGCATGAACTTTCAAATACGCCTAACAGTCTTAACATTACAATATTATGTAGTTTTTTTTTTGGTTGTAAGGTCATAGATAAAATTTAAAATAAAATTAAACATAATATTTTATAATATATGTTGTTGATCATAAGCATTACGAATTATCTAATTAAATTAAAGTGCTTAGCTACATAATTTGTCAACCTACAAAATTTGGACATGTTAGACTATTGCCAACGTCATGGAAGACTAAAATATGGCATGAATTGTAAGATCCGTGATTATTATTCATACTAGTATGCTTATAAGATATTAGACAATTATATTAATTAATATTTAAGTAAAAATATTATAAAAATTTAGTGCATACAAAACATAATGTGTTAATTTTTATATGAAGATTAATATTTTATTATATAATTAATGTATATTTCAAACACAAAAATTAAATTATTTTTATTATGAAATTCAAATTTTTTGAAAAAGAAATTATGGACGACTAGACAGTTCAGCCATTTTGAACATGACTACCTTCGCAACCGCTAAACCCACTAGGCGTCGCCTAATCCATCTAGACGCCATTTAATCTTCCGAGTGCAAATAATGGCCATCTTGGCAAAAATTGTCGCATCCAGATAGGTGCAAAAGTCGTGTAGACATTTCTTTGTAACACTTTAAATGTTTGTAATAATGAATATCAAGTAATTATATCTTAATGAAATTTTAATTTATAATATTTGTTTCATCTTAAATATCGAATTATATAAATTAAATTTTTTTGTTAAAAACTCGGCTCAAAGTAGATTTTTTTTTTTTTTTTTTTTT